AGCTTGAGAGAGTAATTGCGTTATGGTAGTATCTGTATCTAGTAGGATAAAAAACAGTACCTATTTAATTTTTTCCAAAAGGCAAATGGAGAAATTAGTAAAGGTTTACTAGGTTACACACTTACACTGGCACATCAATCCGAAAGTTGGTACTGAAGTTTTTCTAGTGGGAATGTTGGAAAATAAGCTGTTTATTCTGAGGCACTGTTTGAGATGATAATAGAAAATGTACTGATGAAATTGATATCAACCTGCATCTGCATTTCAGTGATTTTACATTTGGTGCCATAACTGTCGTTGTGCTTAAGTAGAAAATTCAGTTAGTTACATTGTTGATGCTGACCTTACTATCCAGATTCCTTCGCAATACTCTGTGTGATTTTCAAAGCTGTGCGCCAGCCAGGAAAGCTTTCCCATCTTTTTCTCCCTTTAATCCTCGCAATTTACCTTTTGTTTATTTCTTGGATACTTCAGATTGTGCATGGATGGGAAACAAACAAATCTTGGCTTCCTAAGGGAAGAATAGATGAGGTGCTCTTTTCAGCTGTTGTGTTTGTCTTTTTTCTGTTGTTGATATAATAAAAGCTAGACATCTCTTCTCATATGTTCATAGCTGGGAAATAAAAAGGGTCATGTTTGCAGGTTTTAAAAGAAGCTGAGAAAGTGAAGAATTGGTTAAATCAGAAGGTGGCTGAACAGAAAGAGTAAGTTCCCTTTTCCCTGCTCATGTCTTTCAACCTTTATCTTTTTCCTATTTACATACATAGTTTTGCCTCTCCCTTTTCTTTTCATACTTCTCTGCTTGTTTCTCTTACCACCTTATTTAGTCACTGAACGTAGCGTGCCTTTTTTCTGTTGTAACATCTTGTTCTTCAAACTGTTGAGCCACTGAACCCCTGAAAGTGATAACTGAAATTCTCTCTCCGTAAAGAATGAAGCTAGAGGATCTGTGTATCAAAGCATATACTCTTTGATTCGAACACTTGTGCACATATATTATATACACATACATGTGTGTGTATATGGGCCTTGAAAGTGAAAACTGAAATACTCTCTCCGTAAAGAATGAATCTAGTGGATCTGTGTATGAAAGCATATACTCTTTGGTTCGAACACTTGTGCACATATATTATATACACATACATGTATGTATATGGGTCTTGCTAACCTACTACAACTCCATTTTCATTTCCTTCATTTACCTTCTAAAGCACATTAATATCTTTTTAATAGCAGGACTTTTTTGTCTTTCCAACACAAAATCGAAGCACCAAAAAGACCATCTCTCCTCCAAATCAACCACGCCTTCTCTATTCTTTCCTCTTCACTGGCAAATACTTCCTCGCCATTTCTTTTCTCGGCGATCTCCTCTTCATTTGTTTCCTTCGGTGAACTACTCTCCTTCCTCTTTTCCTCTACCCCTCACTCCTTTTTCCATCTTTCTTAGCCTCTCCATTTCTTTCTGTGACCAAGTCATCCTTTTTCTCCTTTTTCCCCTTTTCTTCCATATATGTTAATCAAAGAAAAACTGGAAGAGTGAAGTATAAGTATAAGCTAAGAAGAAGGTGGTGTAAGTCCCGTACAAATACCTTCCAAGAGAGCAAACCTCTGGGAAAAAAAGTTGATTCTCTGATATGCTTCTTCAGCATGTTAACTACTTTTTAACTTTTTCACAAGCTGTACCACATCACTTTTGTAGGACAAGGGAAAAGGACAGATAAAAGTGATGTGGTACAGCCAGTGAAAAACATCTTTTTATTTTTATGCAATGCTAACCTACTATAGCCAGTGAAAAAGTTCTTCACAATGCTAGCCTATTATGGCAAGCGAAAATGTTCTTCACGGTGCTAACCTACTATCTGTAGTAGGCCACATTTCTTATTTGGTTTTGTATTTCATGCAACCAAATTAGGAGGGAAGAAGGTGGAACTTTGCTATCTTCTTTTGCCCCTATTCAATTGGGGATTGGAGGAGGATTGTACTGGTAGAGTAGAAAAGAGAAGAAAATGGGTGCTATAAGAATGTTTATCCGCAGGGCTTTGGTTAAGTGATAAGGACGGGTGATGTGTGGTTAGCACATCGTAGCTTCTAACCCTGCCATGTACAAGGTTAAGTTGGATAGGATTAGAGCAGCGAGCCCATACACCCCGAGCTCTGAACCTTTTCACCGACTGGAGTTGGGCCAAAAGCCCACATGGGACAACTTCAATATTAAAAGAAATAAGTAAAATAAAAAGAACGAAATAAGAATAGCATAAATACTGATTCTCTTTATTCTCTGAATTTTCATATGTTATTTGAGTCGGTTCTTGAGTTTGACAGCAAAAGTTCTCTGGTGGAAAACTATATAAAATATCATCAGGCTGTGCTGGTTCTCCATAAAAATTGTGACCCATATATCCCAGTGGTCCGGCTTGCCAGTTTGAGGAAGTCATAACTCTCTCTACAAAATTACCTTCTAGAAGAAACAACTTTCTATAAACATTGTTCTGAGAAAATTTATCTTATTGTTTTTTTTTTGAGAATGGTAACATTTGTATTAATAAAAAATGCACTAAGGCAGTGCATAACCATATGTACAGGGAATAGTAGATCAATCTTGGTCTACCTATTTACAAAAAGCCTAACATGTCTACCAGAGATTCTGTATCCTCTACAAGACTTTCTTTACACCAAAAATGAAATAGAAGAATACAGTCCATCTTGACATCCTGAACGGATTTGTATCTGTCTTCAAAAACTCTTGAGTTTCTCTCCTTCCATACTGTCCACCATATGCATGCAGGTATCAGTCTCCACCTCCACCATGTCTTTTGACTGACTGAGTCTCCAGTGTTGTTCCAAGATTTTAGTAACTCAACAGTAGTAGCTGGCATAGACCATCTTAGCCCAACAATGTTAAGGAACAGTTGACACAGTTGACTTGTAATAGGGCAGTGAAGGAATAAGTGGCTGTTCGTTTCCAATTCCCTGTACATAAAAGACATCTAGAGCAAAGTTGGAATCCCCTCCTTTTCAGGTTCTCTTGAGTTAAGCATGCTTCTCTTGCTACCAGCCATGTGAAACAATCACCTTATAAGGAGCTTTAACTTTCCAGATACTCTTCCACGGCCAACCATCTATGTGACGACCAGTGTTTGATAACAAAAGATAAGCTGCTTTGACAGTATACATCCCATTCTTACCATTGAAAATTTATCTTATTGTTGCTAATCTTTTTATCCCTTTTCTCATTCTTTTGTATGTTTAATGCCTTTTTTATTTTTCCTACAGCACTCCTGGATTCAACAAGCCTGCATTTACTTCTGAAGAAGTATATGAAAAGGTTCTCGATCTTCAAGACAAGGTACTTGACCTAAATCATCGTTAATTTGCTCTAGTGATAGAGCTGACCAAGAATTAGGTAGTCAACTTCTTCTCCATATGAAGCTTTCACCTTTTGATTCTGCCTTTCTCTTCTTTGTGGATCAGGTTACTAAGGTAAATAGAATACCCAAACCGAAGCCAAAGATTGAGAAGCCTGTGAAAAATGAAACTGAAAGCAGCAGGGAGAAAGCAGACGCTACCAACTTCTCTTCCGAGGAGGGTACCTCCCAGAAAGAAAAAACAGCTTCAGATGCAGAAAAACCATCCACCAATGGAAAAGCTGATGCCCAGTCTAAAGATCACGAATCAGACCATGATGAGTTATGATTATTACCTACAATGACACATCAAAGGCTAGATAACTGCAAATTACAAAGAGGAAGAGACAACAACTTGAGTTGTAGAGTATACTCCGAGTCAAACCCATCTTTTTCATGGAATGTTTTTGGGAGTCCTCGGTCTCCAGGCAAATATGGGTTCAAATAGTACATGCTAAGAGATCTTACACTTAATCCGTTGGTAGCTGTAACACCATATTAATGTAGAAGAGTGGGACATTATTCATGCGCCGTTTTTGGCTGCAGAATGGAATTTTGTTAGCTCCCCTCCTATGAACTCTTTCTATCACCAACCTCTGCCCCTCTTGTTCCCTGAAACTGCACTTCCTTTCTTTTAGAAACTGGAAAGTGTCCACTATTCCTTTGGGACAATGGATGCGTATTTAATATATGGAGTATATAAATTTTGAAATACTTGTATCGTTAAGTTATGCCACTATTGTCTGGTTGTGCTAGAGTTACCCTGCTGTTGGCAAAGTCATCTACCTTGCTCTCCAGCTTTTTATGGGTCAGCCATTTTTGAAAACAAGGGGCGGGGAACTGATGTGAATCTCAAGAAAACCAAAAGCTACCTAACCCACAAAGACATTTCATAATTTTGATTTAGGATCCAGGTCTCACTACTTAACAATTAGATGATAATAGGTGATGTATTGTGCAATAATGATATAACAGATAATCAAGTTTAAATGTTTCTTGAACGTGGAAGTTTAGCTCGTTATAAATGGAGCTATCGTTATGTATAAATAATATCATTTTTGCTTTCGTCATATTTCTAAACAATATTTAGTTCCTCTCCTGGTTACTGATACTGGGGAGGGTGGCCAAAAGCATATACTTGAAAGATTTCTTTTATGTGGCTTGATTTTCGATTTTCACTTAAGTTCTGCTCTTTTCGAGTGAAGAATAGTTGTTTCACTCTTGGCATTGCTTTGTTTTTCTCTTCCCTATCCTATCAACGACTTTCAATCTTTTTGTTCGAATTCTCTTTGTTTGTACTAAACTGCTTGCAGAATCAATCCTGTTCCTCACTGAAATTAGAGACTCAATCATTTCGAGCTAATATTTTGGAATCCACTAGGTTGGGAGTCCATATAGTTTGATTAGAGGCATTTCAGTTTACGGAAGAGGTATTAGGTTTAGGGAACTGCTAGTTTTAAAGAATCTTTTTTCCTTAAAAAGATTAACTATCTAATAATGAATAAAATTAGTCCGACTAGAGTTAAATGCACACGAATAAGGATTGAGGAGAGTTGATTGATTAATAGAAACTTTGATAAGATGAATTATGAAAGATTAAATGAAGAAGTACAAAATTTATTGATCTTAGAATTACAAACAAAACTAAGATGCTATAGAATCATCTGTGGATATTTCCATTTTCCCAGCTACCTTCTTGTCACTTTATGTCTCATGTATACATTTTGTTATCCAAATCACCTGGTAATTTAAAATTGCCTATTGATAAACAAAGAATATGTAAAGGCGGATATACATCTAGTAAACTGTAAAGCTATAACAAAATGGGATATCGATAAGAATCTGAATTAGCAAAAGCTAATCCTGTCTCCTCCAGGCATTAACCTGATCAGCAAAACTGAGTTACTTTAGTTGTAACCATTTCTGTGTACCTTTTGCCATCTCCATGCTATTGCTAAACTCTCTTCAAGTGAATACCTTGCTATCCAGTTCAGTTCGCGCCTAATTTTAGAAGGATCGCTGTACACTTCAGCGTAGTCTCCTGGACGTCTACTCAGGTAATCAATCTTTATGTCCACTCCTGTTGCCCTTTTACAAGCTTCCACAAATTGTTTCACTGAACTACCTGTAATGACAAGGACTTGACTATCAACAAAATCACTTCCGGTGTACCAATATGTAGAGGCAGATCCAGGATATATATATATATATATATGTACTCTGTGTCAAAAGTTATGGGTTCAGATCCTTTAGACTACATCCACTTATACCAAAATGAATATATAAGTTTGCAACAAACAAAATGTTCAAAAAGTAATTTATAACTAGTGCAAAGTAACCTTTTCCAGTCCCAACATTGTAGATGCCAACTTTGCTAGGTTTTGCATGCTCGAGAGCTTTAACATGAGCGTCAATTAGGTCAGTCACATCGATATAGTCTCTTACACAAGTGCCATCTGGTGTGATGTAATCTACTCCTCTTATCTGAAATTGCCAGATAAGAATAAAGATTAAGTTTTACATACTGTTTATACATAAACAAGCAGGCTGTTTTGGATAATGGAGACAACGAGATATTCCCTCCGTTTCAATTTACGTGCACCCATTTGACTGGACACGGAGTTTAAGAAAAGAGAGAGGACTTTTAAACTTGTGGTGTAAAATGAGTCACATATATTTTGTGTGGTTATAAATCATTGCATAAAGGTAAATTGTTTCCAAATAAGGAAAGGGGCATTCTTTTTGGCACGGACTAAAAAGAAAATAGGTTCACATAAATTGAAACGGAGAGAGTAACTAAGTAAACCAAAAAGTAGAAAATGACAAATCAAGAAAAGAAGTGCAATATCTACTTGAAGAACATTCAGTAATACACCTATTACTGCTTACCTTCAATCCTGGAATTATGCCCCTGGCTGCATCAAAACAAGCACCAGATATCCGACCTTGCTCACGTAATTCTGGCCGTGGAGCTTCTCCTAACCTTCCTTCAGGGTCTGAGCCGATCACATTGAAGTACCTGATTAGTACATTGTAGACCATCAGATACTTGCATTGCGAAATGTGTATGTACAAAGACGTTACACTTGCACCAACTTCAGAAGCACCAAAATCCAACAACTTTATCAAGCTTCAAAGAGTTGGGAAAAAGTGGTTTTTGTTTTACTGCTTAGTGATAAAAAGGACCTACCATCAGCGGAAAGCAATTTTCAGTGATTCACTACAGGTTCTCTAAAGGTGAAAAATATAGTACCTATTATTTATCATATGAATGTATTTAGCATTATTATGCAAGGTGGCTTGAACATTGTTCGAGTTGGTGAAGTGAAACCATTCCTATAATGATAATGCACTTAATTCAATCGCAGGAAGGCGCTTCCTTACTAAGGATCAGCTGACCATTCCTTTTCAAGATATTCAAGTGTAAAGCACAAACCTTAATATCATAATAGCCATATCTGAAGTCTTGGAGTAGTCCAGTATGATATCTTCAGCCATTTTCTTTGCTTTTCCATATGGATTTATTGGGGCCTGTTTTGTATTCACAGTTACACCAGTTAGTTTGGAAACATTGTAATCAGTAACGATAATCACAATAACAAACACCTATTCCAGATATTGGCAAAAGTGAAAACGCCTAATGGAGCAAACTCGTTCTAGTTTGACAGGGCGGTGTTTTTCTTATTGACATATGACTTTACCGATGAAACATCAGTATAAATAAAAAGTTCTAATGAAGTGGAAATTAGTTACTGACTTGTGGCGTCTCTTCTGTAATAGGCATTTTCTCAGGCTCTCCATATGTTGCACAAGTACTTGAATAAATTAGTGTCTTTACACCATGTGCAGCCATTGCCTTAACTAGAAGCAGAGTATTTGACGTGATGTTATGATAATACCTGCACAGTGCAAGAGTATTACAAGACAGACAAAAAAGGAGAGAAACAATTTCTGGGGAGGGTAGGATGTTCGCAGCCTTACCCCTACCCGGGAGGGCAGAGAGGCTGTTTCCGATATAATTTCTTTTATCAAAAATTTAACATTCACAGGTACCTAAGCGGTTCTTGAGTACTTTCACCAACATATGCAACAGCTGCAAAATGCATCACAGCATCAAATGCATTTTGTGAGAAAATCTTGTTAACCTGAGGTTGTTGGTTAAGGATAAAAAATCCTGACAACATCTGAAGCTGTAACAAAGATGTTACTATATAGAGAACTAAACGTGTAGATAAGTCGTGAAGCTAAGCATGAAAGAAGAAAACAAGTTATCCAGGATACAGCAGCACCATCTCCTAGATCAGCATAAATAAACTGAAGTCGCCCTGGCTCGGGAAAAAGTTCCTGGAGAGCTTTTACAGCACCCATATTTCCACGCGAAAGGTTGTCCTGTCAGAAAAATCTCATGATTATGACACAGTCGAAAACTTGATTTGTGAGGGGATTTTGAAATGAAGAGGGACATACCACAATAGTTACACGGTATGAATCTTTTAGGAGTCTAAGGACAGCATGAGAACCTATGTAGCCAGCACCTCCAGTCACTAATACATGAGTTACACCAGGTTCGTGTTGAGAAAACTGAAAATTACAAATTTTGATTGCCGATTACCAACAGATTCTGATATACATTGTAAGACATATGATCTAATTATGAGTCGGACAATCACCTTGACGGAGGTACTAAAACCAGATGAATTTCTGAATATAAGAAAACAAATTGCAGCAATGCCAGCAACCAAGAGCAGTTTCCTGGAAGTGCTGCTCCTTCTCTTTAACTCCACAAAATCCATGCCTGAAAGTTAATGTGCAAATATATTTAGCTCTTTTCAAAGTATATTCTCCTTAATATTTTTAGTTATTGGTATATCAATTCATTTCTCCCATACCATGTAACAATTCAACATACTCAACACTGATGGCAACTTAATAAGTTATAACAGCATTATCCTGCAGCCAGGGGCGAAGCTACACTGCCTTAATGGTGGTCAATTGACCACTCTTTGCCGAAAATTATATTGTGTATATAGGTAAAATATTAGGTTTTAAAGATATATAACATATATATTGGACACCCTTTGTCGGGGAATTTTCTCCACTTCTTTCAAGTTTGAACACCCTTGGGGAAATCTTTGGCTTCACCACTCTCGAACTACTAAATCTAACAAACAAGAATTTGGTACAAACACCTTTGCAGTTTCTAAAAAAATATTTTCAGGGAATCCATCAGCTATTGGCGTTCAGCGGCCATTTATAGAATTCCAGCGAATCAAAACTTCCCCATATATAAGCCTAACTACTAAAAGATCATCAATCTCAGCGTTTGATTATTTAGGAAGTCAATATACTTTTTATTTTTAATGTCCAATTAGGATCAACTAGGACACAAATAAAGCTGACTTCTTTATTTTCCAAAAGGGATATAATCCAATTTCTATTTCAAGCAATACTTCATAAAAGGACCTCCTCCAACCTAAAAAACTATCCTATATCTAAATAATTTTAGATGCTAATTTAGACCACATCGTAAAATAAGTATTTTGCACGTTGGAATCAAAGATCATGATGCAGAATGCAGAATTTATCTCCCTTTTCACCAATCGAATTAAAAAGACAACTTTTTTAATAAAAGACTAATCAATCAGAAGTTGATTTGAACATCACAAAGCCACAACAATCATAGAAAGACAAATAAAATTCTTCCTTACATTTCAGAGAATGACTTAAAAAAATGTATATCACGAAATTATAGATGTAAATAAGTAAAGCTAATTTTGTAAAATCCAGAAAACCTGTGAATGTGTAATAATAATGTGTATAGAAAGATGACAGAAAGATAAAAACAAAAAGTCAATACTTTGCAACGACCTTAAAAGCGGAGGAACCAAGAATATAATTCACCAAACAATTAATTTTCTTTTTAAAAAAAACGTCTATAGCCTCAGAAGATGATCGCCAAAAAAATTGTAACAATGTAAAAATCACATGCAAAATCTAATTCTAGATAATAAACAAAAAAACTACGTAAAAAAATCCCAGATGATGAATATTAAGAAAGAATGACATAAAAGATTGTTTACCTGAAACGAAAGAGGAAACGGAAGAGATTTTTCCTTAAGCCAAAACTGATGTATGTTATAATAATGTTAATTACTAGTATTAATATTAAGGAAAAAAAGAGAGAGAAAACAAAACGAGAAACAATTGGGAAGAAGTTTTGTGAATATAAAGACAAAGACCAAAGAAGTTTTGTAGTATATAAGAAGAAGAAGTCAGATAATAAAGATAAGTAGATTTAGAAAATCCGAAAAGACAATATATTTCAGTGGAAGAAAAGTGGACCATGTTCTTGAGACTAATAATAAACTCAAAGCAGCCTCAAAATTAAACTAATGGATTATAATTAATTATAAATATTAAAAATTGTGTTACACGTAAAACTGCCATTAGTCGTTTTACCATTGATGACTCTCCTTTTTCTTCTGCTAAGTGTGTGTGTGTGTGAGAGAGAAAGGAAGACATTGGTGGAAGAGAGTCCTGGTCTATTGGGGACAGTGTGTGTGTGTGTGAGAGAGAAGAGAGAGAGAATTAAGAAATGGTTTATTATTCAATTGAGAGAGGGAAAATGTCATTTTCCTATTTGTTGGACTTTTTTTTTTTGGATTTTATTATTATTATCATCTCATGCAATAGGATTTATTATTGAGTATAACTCGAAATCCTAAGCTACTCCCTTTTATAAGGAAACAAAAGAAGTTGAATACTACTTTAAATTAATTACCTCTTATTTCTTGTGTCTCACTAAACATATTTTAACCTTGAATAACTATTTTTTATTTTATTTTTTGGTTCCTTTGCATAGAAAATATTTTATATTTAGATTATTATTGAAATCATATTATCCTTAAATATGGCGTAACAATATGAATTTAGCATAATACATGGATGATTAAATGATTTAGGATTCAATAATCTATTAAATTTGGGAAGAAAGGATATCATAAATTCATAATTTGATTAGTTTTAGGTTAAACTTTAAGAGAACAGAATAAGCAAGGATGCCAAATTATACCCCTTTACGTCCACCCTTTTCAATCTTGTATGAAAATATCTCAAAAGAATATAAGATAATAAGAAGGTTGTGGAGGATAAAAATGAAGCAACAAATAGGGGCGGAGCTAGAAGTCCAGTTACGGATTCAGCCGAATCCAGTAGTTTTTGCTTAAACAATGTATTTATGTTCAAGAAATTCATTAAATATGTACATATATTAAGTTTAGAACTCAGTTATTAATTAGCACTTGAAATCGTTGTTCTAAAATAATTCCGAACTTATAAAATTGAAATTCTAACTCTACCTCGGACAACAAAGGCAATTGTGTTTGTGTGAGAGAGAGAGTGAGAGAGGGAGTGAGAGAGATAGAGAGAGAGTCGTGTTTAAAATAAATTACTATTGTTTATCCTATTATTATAAAATATGAGTAAATTATGCGTATACACCTTGTTCTATGTGGTGTCACGGGACACAGTCGAATTTTTTTTACTAATTATGTATAAGAAAAATAAAAATATTAAGGATAAATATAGAAAATGACACCGCTTACAACTACAATAAGTTATTTAGTTCATTTCTTCAAATTGTGACAGTGTTTATGAAAAAATTTACCTTAAATCTAACAACAAAGAGATTGATTTTACTAAGAGTCTCAATTCTTCGCAAAAGTTAGAATATTACTACTACTTCTATTGTTTCCCTTTTTCAGTTAGGGTTGAAGTATTCGAATAGGCTGTCAAAGTTGACTAAATGTGTTGATGGGAACAAGCTAAAGGATTCTTAATTAGCTGACATACCTAATAATCTTATCTCTTCTTTGAGGGTTGGCATGGCTAATATTATGCATCAAGTTGGTGTAAATAAAGAAAAGAAAATTTGACATGTAAACCATTTCAAGTATTTAAATGGAAGTAAATTAAATATGACAAAAACCGATGAACTATCAACAAATGGTTCGTAGGAATTTTAAGTTGATGGTTAACAATTGTTAATAAAAGAGACGCTATAACTAGAGAGAAAAAAAAGATTTTTAAGAAGCTAATTTGTCTGTGTCTATTAACTATATAGCTTAAGTAAATTAAATATGATAAAAATTGATGAACTACCAACGAATGATTCATAGAAATTTTAACAACTGCCAATAAAAGAGATGCCATAATTCGAGGGGGGGAAATACTGATAAGGAGGTAATTTGTTTTTGTCCGTAAAATATATAGCCAAATTTTATCTTACTTGCACCAGATATTTACACCAATTTATATAGCCCAACCTATAAACTATAATAACAAAAATAACAACATACTCGATGTATTCCCACAAGTGGAATCTAGGAAGGATAGTATGTACCCAGACCTTACCCCTACCTTGTGAAGGTAGAGAGGCTATTTCCGGTAGATCATCGGCTCAAGAAAAACATAATCATAGCAAAATGACAAAGAACTACGGAAAGAGAAGCAATAACAACAAGAAGAATAATACTAGAACCGGAGCAAATATACAACAGGAAGAACCCAACCTATAAACTATAGTAATTTTTTTCCACTTAGAAGGATTTTCTTAGGGATCAATTAAAAATTTCCTTGCTTTTCAATTCTTCTTATTAGCTGGATATCACTTTGTATCATACATAAGAAGAAAAGATGAGAACATGAAGAAACGTGCAGTCTCTACCAATACAAATTTTCACGTTACAACCTATTTTCAGCATCATGCATGTAGTTTCTCTTACTACTATAAACTAATACTCCTTAAATAAACCGTTTGTAAAAATTATAAAATTGAAAAAAAAGTTATATTTGTGTGTTATTCCACTATTGGAGGCTTTGAGTCAACACAACTTAGGATGATCAAAAGTTTCAAGGGAAGAAATTGATATTTAAAGGGCAAACTTAAAGATAAAAAAGAACCAAGCAAAGGGTATAAGAATGCTTCTTTTTCAGGACATGAATGAGAGAGAATACATGTTTGATGCATCATTCTAGCACATGTACCATTGACCCTTTCTCTTTCCCTTTTATGCATTAGCCAAATAATCTGTTTAATTAGCACTGATTGGCAACTTAAAATATACAGTAAACGTCCTGCTACAATAGATTAAATTACAATGATGATGATGATATATATATATATATATATATATATATATCCTTTAATAATTAAATCTCTCTACCTTGACAATTACTAGCTGGAACTGGCTAAACTTCAGTGCTTGGAGGGCAGGTGGGATGATAAAAACAAACTAGCACAAGGAAAATGCAGCCAAGAGAGGACAAAAACATGAGCAAGTTGCTATATACATGAGTCAGAGTGATAATAATAATAATATTTTATATTGCATGAAATTGACATGAAACCTCTATCAATTATCAACAGGAACTGCTTTAACATGTATCTATTTTGAGTGGAGAAAAAGCAGCATTTGCGTCAATTATCTACAGAAACTGCTACAACCATCCTAGCTGCTGAACTGGCAATAGCATCATCATACACAAATGCAGCAGAGAAAGGGCGCCCGCGTTAATGCACCACAGGCTGCCCTTCTAGCAGTGCAACAATAAAGACAAAGCACTATTGCATATCCAATGTGATCAACAGTAGTTCACCTCTATGCCACCCGCATATACTTCAATTTACAATAGGGATGACACATTTCAATGCAACATTGTAAACAATTCGGGGGAAGGTGGGAAATAAGAAAAAAGAAAACACAAGATGGAGGAAGAGGAACTCCAGGCATTAAAACGATGCCTAATATATATGCATACCCTTGCTTCCAGCCTTCTATTTCTTCTGGATCAGAATACCATGTTTCTGGCAAAGAGCATCTAGACGACCACCCTGAGAGTTACGAATGTACAACTGTATTTGCTATCTTAGCAGCTCAGCTAGCAGCTTACGGATTCAGGATTTATTTGTCCACTATTTCCACCATGAGCATTAAACCCAGTAACAGGCATGGACCGCTGAGCAAAATTGAACAGCAGCTTCCTCTGCTGCTCATTCGTGTGCGGAAGACCTGCACGTAGAAGCTCGACAGGCATTTCTCTACTTACAGCTCTTGCAGCCTCTGAACCAATCATCTCTGTGTTTGACGGAGTCTGTGCAAGTATTGATTGCATTATACTGTCATACTTACTCAGACAATACTTGGTAAGTAGACCAAAGAAGGCATCAAAAGACGCCTGCCAAAGGGCAGGATTAGGCATGCTGAAGCTGCCTCCAGCCTGAGGATCTGTTAACAGATAAGTTGCCCTATCAAGTACAGACTTTAGAATAACAGTGGCTCCATCTCCAGCAGGGCTTCCAAGTGGGCGGAGAGGAGGCTGCTCTGACGAACAAACAATAGCAGCTAGACAAGCACTGAGCGAATTGAGGTCCATGCCACTGACGCATGCAGAGACTGTTTTTGCAAGATTAGTGATGGTCTCTGCGGCTTCCACATCATGTGGAAGGCCACCAAACAAGACCCTTAAATGTCGAAAAATTGCCATGCAAACTATTCTGGCAAGCTCACCTCCAGGAATAAGAAGCTGAAGGTACCTCGATATGAGCTTTCGGCCTTTAGGAAGAGATACCAACCATAAAAATACAATGTCATCTTTAGGGGTAAGCCCTACAGAACTGCCACTTTTTCCAAGGGGGTCAACAAGCTGAAGCGAGGTCGCCATGCCTTCTAACAGGATTTGCCGTTTCCGCCTGAGTTGAGCACCACCATCCTGGGGCTGAGTAAACAGAAGTAGCCGGTCAATGTCATCGACCTCAAGCAGAAGATAGAAACCATCTTCTACGGTAATTCTAGCTGCAAATGTTGGTTCCTGCTCCAAAGGTTTCTCAGATATCTTCTGTTCACCACTGCCATCATTAGAAACAAGGCCTGGTGGATCAGATTCAAGAAGAGCACGAGGCCTGCGGATAGAAGAAAATGAAACCCGCCCCTGAGCATCAACATGGAGATGAGGCTGCGTTTCTGTGCTATTGCGCGACCGTGAAGATTGCTCCTTGTTTGGACAGAACCGGCGCATTGATCTTGACTCAGCTGCTTTCTTTGCAAGCCGAGCTTGGTGATAATAATCGTCTACATATGGATCATTCCGATGTGTTGCAGAATGCTGCATTTTCAGAATGCTCTCTATTTCATCACCAGTCATGTACTTAGATCTGAACTGTGACACATTACTCTCCCGTTT